TGGAATATATTACAGTTAAATCTAGAAATGCACTCTAATATTTGTAACAGAAGATTCTTTACTGAAGTTTCTTGACCTTTGTCTCCGAAGTAATCTTTATTTCACTCCTTAGCCGGATCTGAGTTGACGGTTTGTTTTGGGGTTAAGCTCCCTCTCTCCCGAGGATTTTGTCCCTTAGTAAATGGAAATAACTTCATTTGAACGAGGAAATCTTTGAATTAAATGCTGTTTATATAAAATAAATAAAGAATAATAGTAATATCTGTGAATGAGAAATAGTCAACACAAGAGTATTTACTCAATAATATATCAGTTTAGATATGATAAATATAAGGCAATTGATTTGGTCTTGTTGAAATGAAAAATATGATTATGATGGGAAAATGACGTAGGCTACTATTTTTGCTTCTAAAGAAATTTTTACATTAACGAAAACTAGTTAATTGACTAGTTAAAATCACAAAACACAAAATGAAATCACATAACTTTGGAAGCAATCGACATTTATTGGATGTTATTTTTTAATAGATAAATTAGGGTTATAGATTTCATTGAGAGGAAAATGTATCAAAGAAAAAATTGTTGGTTATAAAAAGCCTTGGAATTAATTACAATCAAGCTATCGTTTCAAGGTGTGGTTTTGTTACTCAGATGGTCTAAACCCACGATTAAGTGTAAATTATTAAAAACCATATGGTAAATATCAGATTGGCTACGTTTAGAACTATTATTTAGTAACTGACCTTTCCAGGACTGCTAACCAGTTAAAATATACTTTGAAAGTTATTTGTTCACTTTCACAAAGTGTGTGTGTATGTGTTTTTCTGTGGAGGCAATCTTCAACAATAAACCTGTTTGTAGCCCACCAATGTGAGTTGTTCCAATGAACTAAACTTGGATCGGACGGATTACCATTTTACGACCAATCAGTTCTCTGTTTGGTTTGGTTATGTTTCCTCTCTCGATTTCACGATGGTCGCTGTGTTGCTGCGAGTAAATATTTCCCTATGTATTCAAATATATTGATATCTGTTACTAAATAATGGTACATTTTTGAATAAGAAGGATAAATTCTTCTAGTATATTTCTTGAACCCAACACCAATGCACAAATAAGCAACCACGATAAATTCCGAATACATATGTTTTGTTGTACTTGAAAAAACAGTAAATATTTAACAAATCTGTTTCGTTTAGAGTCTAGACCACTTTTACAACGTTAGGTAATTGTTGTTTGCCCTCCAATTGTACTTCTATTTTTTCCTCAACATTATTTTCCCTGATTTTATATCTGTCGCATATAATGTTTTTCGTGCTATTTTTTTGCATGGATTTTATTGAGTTCTAAATATTCTTTGTTGCGTACAAGTTATTGTGTTGTTATTTATCTTTGTTGCGTTGAGTTCATTATGCAATTAATCCTGCTCTCTATTTACATTGATGCATTGTTTTGTAGTTATATTTAAATATTATGTTTTTTTAAGTCTATAGTTATTTTTCATTACTTATATACTCAACTAATTTATTTATCACATAGAAGCTATGCATTTTCCATGAAAAATAATGCCAAATGCATTTATAAATAAATAAAAACATTTGCTTAACATTGAAGTTTTTCCACCTCACTAATATGAAATGAAAATGAATAAAAAATGACAATAAATAAATAACATGAACATTCCTCTAGATATCCTAGATCCATACAATATTTGGTATTAAATTAATGTTCATAATTTTATTTATATACGCGTTTTCTAGAATGAAATACACTAATTTGTTCATAATTAATTGATTTAAATTGATTTAGGTTTGTTTCAAAAATAGGGGCTGTCTAAATATTTTTATTTAAATGAGAGCCCAATGAATTAACTATTTACATTAATTTATAATGGTTCATGAACATACAACTGTATGTTTTATGAACAATAAAGGAGATTTTTTAAGACAGTAAAGCATCGTCGACATTTGACTTGTGAATAACAATTTGGATGTGAAAAAAATCCCCTTTCATAAAATGAATGAATAATTATGTTTTATTAAGAAAATTATAAGTTTATTTGTGATTATAAGTCAATGCTGTATTAAGGATTTTCCCATACTTTTAAATAATAGAAGTTATATTTGTTTTACTGATCAATGATGTAAGGAATCTGCAATGTGCATCCAATAATAGGCAAGATCTTCACATGATCCAACAGTAGTACAATCGTGTAAATTTAAAATCGGATGTATTCAAACAACGATTTTTATCGGGAAAAAATATACCCAATCGAATTATTTGTAAAAAAAAATGATATTTAAAAATTGTAAGTGTTCCTACATAACGCTAGTCATTCTAAAACCTAACTGCACATAGCACTGTTTATAGAGTTTCAATGAGAACGACAAATAATGATTGTTTCCAATGAACTGAAAGAGTGGTTTACCAATTGGCATTTTATTGGCCAATCAGTTTTACATTTCGTTTCGGAAATGCGACCCGGTTGTAATACGCTATTACCGGTTGAAATGAGCCAATAACATCCAGATAGCTTTTTAAAACACAACAAGCGTTGGAACCATAATCGCATTGCTTCTTCATTCCTTTTTTTGTAACAACCGAAATGGTTTTCAAGAAAACAAACACAGAAATAAGTATATTTCGTACCCTTCAGAAGATCATATTTGTTGTAAGTAGTAAGGATGTTTTGTTTTTTAAAAACATTAGAACCATGCTTTAACGTTTCTAAAGTAATTAAAATAAGATTTTCAAAAAAAAAATGCGTGTTACTGTTATACATTGTACTACAATATTATTATACACGTTATTATATATTATGTTGTTATTTCATGAATATTCATTTATACCACCTATTTGTCTATTATTACCTCTCAAACATCCAACATATGAGGAACCAACAAACAATATGACGAACTATTACAATGAACGATTATTTCAAATTCATAATAAAATAATTGCGTTAAGCCTAAATTATAGAATCGTACATGCTTTTTCTGATTTTACAAAAAATTCGTATTATAATGGAACGATTCTGGCCATGTACCTCACGACGATACACTTCAAAATATCAATCACTTGAAATCCAAAGAAATCATAATCCACCCAGGGTATTGTAATTATAAATACTTGTTTTCCTTAGTTAATCTCGCATCAAACAAGATATTTATTTTAGCCATGCACATTTAAATGTGTAGGGAAAACCTGTATTTATATATTTTCCAAGGACTAAGTACCCAAGCAAATTCGATCCAGTAAAAAAAAATATTCTTTCACGTTTTCAATTTTTGTATGTCAAAAAGTTTAAAAATTTCTTTACTGCTCTTGCTAGAGTTTCTAAACGGTGATAAAGAGAAACTATTGTTAGCCAGACCTTCGTATAAAATATGATAAAACATGACTTTTCTTTATTTTTAACTAAGGAGTTTTTGTCCCAAGACAAATTATGTCATAGGTAAAACATTCTATAGGATTTTACCTGTTTCTGACTCTGTCTTTCAGTTATTCTGTCTTTCATCTTCTCTAAAATCATACCTGTTACATTAGTGAAAATAATTCCATATACAACATTTTACTGATGTTGAAAATAACAATTTTTAGACATAAACCAATAAAATATTTTAAAGAAATACAAAACAAAAATATTTGTTCACCTATTTAGAAATGGTTACACGTCGTGTTTTTACTACGTCCAGTACTACCAACATGTTTTATGTCATAAATTTGTGCAGGAGAGAAATAAAATCCATTACAGACATTAGTGGAAGGTTTACGCATATTCATAAGGGAGAGACCGGTGAAGGACCCCCAGTGGATTACACCTACCTCTGCTGCTTATATAAGAACACGGCTTCATTAGTGGGGCCTCAGGAACTGTGCTCGACAATATTTTATATGGTATTACCAATTCATTACATTTTCATGCATCTTTCATTACTCTATGATAAGTAAAGTAGTTTCTATACGGAATTGCGTTTGAAAAGTTATTTGAGTGGTTTAAGGGATTTTAGAGGAATTTTTAAGTATGGTTTTGTGTGTGTACAAAACATTGGTTTTATAAATTGCTGAAATCATTAATGACCTAAAAAAATATTTTGTGTATTTTAGTGTGGAAGGTCATCATTAAAATCAAATTACAAGTGATTAATGGGTAGTTTTTATTCAAAAATCAAATTTAAACGCAGAAAATTATACGAACGATGTCCAAATCCGACAAAATTAGTTAAAATCTGTATACCTAATACAATAATGGGTTTCGCTGTAACATCCCTTTTCCAACAAAATTTTACGATTGATGTAAAACATGTAAAATGATAAATTGATATATGTAAAATGTAATTTACAACCTTATTATCGAGCGGATTGACCTATCGTAACTAAAAAAGGCAATATTCAAGGTTTTGTCCCTAACGTTATATTTATGCTAGAGTTCACTTTCAATGATTCAATAATGCTGACCAACATGTGAAATCCAATTTAACCACCTATCGCTTAGTTGAATGTTTAACAACACTCATATTGTAAAGAAGAGAGGAACCAGATTATTACAATGGATTTTAAATAGGTAAATTTTCGAAAATTGTAACCTGATTGAGGTAGTTAATTGATTTTTGAGCTGTTGGAGTAAAATTTAACCAAGCTTTTTTTCAAATAGTAGGTGTACTCATCTAATAATAATTGTCTAAAGCATACATGATCTTTGAATAGAAAAAGGGTATCACATTATTCTTTTTTCCTCGGAAACAAAGTTTTGAACCCTTTAAAAGGCGCAAATTGCGCACGTGTACCCTCGTTACGCATATAAAAAGCGTAAATGCAATTCACACAAAATATTAACTGTCAATAAAATAAAAATAATTACCTGCATTTAAATGAACGTTACAAAACACTCACGTGAAAGCAAAAACTTCACAACTTTATCTTCTTTGTTAATAAAACAAATTTCACTGCTAGAGGGTAAAAACAATTACTGCACAAGAGATGAAACAATAGTTAATACTCACCCCAGGTAACGTTTTAATATTATGGAGGGCGTTTTGAGCTTCGAGGGCGGCTTTTCTCGTAAAAAACGTGACGAAACAGCATCCTGGAACAAAGAGAACGTTTTAGAGAGAAGAATAAAAACACAATGAATCTGATTTTAATCGCTGCAGCTGAAGTTTCAAGCGGCATAAATATCGTAATGCGGTTTCTGCGGGGATTCAGGGAAAAGTTAGAGGGGAGAAACATTATGAGCGAACGACTTCCTACCGGAAGCGCGGTAAGTTGTCGACGTCTGAGTACCGGAACTGGCCAGATAGCGGAAACGGAAGCCGCAGATTGTGACGCGTCAAGTGACGACGGAAGCTAGATGCTTAACTTTCTTTAAGCGTGAGCTCAAAAATGAGATGAGGAAGGACATGTTGTACGGTAATGGCATCGATTGTAAAACAAATAAGATTTTATAAGTGGAGGATACTATCGTGTTAAGTTGCTATTTAGCTACAAGAGGAACATTCATTGCTCTAAACGTAAGGGATCAAATAGTACACAATGTGTGATAATCCTTGATCCCTCTGAGATGCATATTCTTATACCTATAAAACATTATATATATCAGTGAGGATACTCAGTGAGGATACTACAATTATTTACGTTGAAAGACAGGACACACATCAATATTTTTTTTTTTTTTTTGACAATAACTTAAACTTTATGAATTTAGCCTCTCCTACAAAATTGTATTATTTTCCACACCAAAATTATCTTATAAATTTATTTGGATTCAACTGATGGGTTTACTACAGCAAATGCTTTCTAGCATTGATAATCCTTATACCTATACAAAAAATATTTGCCTCTCTCTCAGTGAGAATACTATTATTTACGTTGGAACACAGGTCACACATAAATTTAATGAATTTATTTTAACAATAACTTAAAGTATGAATTTAGCCTCCCCCACAAAATAGTATTACGTTCCACACTTTAAATTTATCTTTAAATTTATTAAACCGTAAATTCATTAATGTATTATTCATAAACTTATGTATTAAGTTTAGGTTGTTAGGTTGAGTATCTAACAACTTTATTGTCATATGCGTTTTTAATATACACGAGGTGTTAGCCCGTCCTACGTACGGGAGTAGACAGTTAAAACTGTGTAGGCCTATAATTCAGAACAGCTAGTTTAAACGTACAAAGACAAATTTTATTGCAGCCTACAGTAGAAAGAGTAATTATCAATTTAAAAGTGTATAGGCCTAGTCAATGATATCACCTTCCAACGCATACCTGCCTCATCCTTAATCAATATCAACACAATACAATTACTCATACTATACACAATTTCCAGTAGGTCTGAATTGAAACTCCCTAAAATAAAACGAAAACATCCAATAACATTCACAGTACACATAATTATAACGTTGGTGTCCTGACATCATTAAACGAATCGTCCACACACATCATTTATGTCAATTTCACTGCATCAATTGCTAAATAAATAAATGTAAACAAAGAAAAGTAAACACAACAACATATTAGTTTGTTTTGTAAACAGCTATATATCAGCTGAGTCAAAAATAAAATAATATTCATTTGAACAAAAGAACTGGTCAAATGTTGAAGGAATTTAAAAAGTAAACTCCCTATTAAAGCTAGTGACGTAATTAATTACCATTGTCTATGTTTATTATCCATTCCGTTATCAGTTCTAATATCCTTGCTAGCTAAACCACCCTCATTGAATCAATGTACATTATAACTCCCCATATTCATTTATTTAAATTATAAAATATTCAGCGCCTCCAAACGTAACCACAACTAAACACACGCCAAACAACTTTTTAGATTTCATGGTTAGTCTAATTGCAGTATCCAAGGTCAATGATGACGTTGTGTCCAATCTATATCATTCATCTGTATATCTTTGGATAAAACCCGTCTGAGGTTGTGGTCTCGTAAAAATCGTTCAAATCGTATTCCTGAGGATTCTTGATCTCCATCTTTATGACATCAATATTTCCAGGCCTAATCCAAACAAGGTTCAAGCATTCAAAAACATTGATTGTAAACAAAAAGCTGCCAAGCTGAATTAAAACATGAAAATATTGTGATTTTCCTACCCTTTCCAAAAAAGTTGAGCAGTAAAATAATTTGCATAATCTTTTTTAAAAACTCGAGTACAGAGCCTCGACTTGTACACATCGGTGGTGTTACTTATCTCGGTGGTCTACTAATCTTACTTATTTCCTATAATCAATGACAAAATCAGAGTAAATAACCCCATAGTTCCATAAGGCATTTTTATAATGAACCAGCTGTTAGTGAAAACAAATTATATTGCACTAAAACAAACCGAAGATTACAAAGATTACTTTAAACAATAATTTGAACATCCTAGTATTTTACTATGTATATTTAAATAATCCGTCATCCTCTTATCGAAGGATTGAACGTATCAATGATTAGCATTACACATAGTATAAATAAGTCAACCCTTAGTATGTTTTTTAATTTGATCCAAATGCTGAATTTGTGACACAAAAGCTGAATGTTTACAGCTGTTATGTTAAGCAAATTATTTTATGCCAAAAGCTAGTTTAGAATCTTAGCGTCGGCTGCTAGACTAAAAAAAAATTAAAACTTAATTTAAAAAAAAAACTGGGACCCTAAACTAAAATTATGGCTTCGACATTCCCTAGTTCACAAAATTATCTTTCTTTCAACACAAAAATCATGACAATCCGTCGAGTGGTTGATTCAGAATCGTGAAATAAAAAAAAAAACCCTGTTTCGTTTTAATATTATAGATTTTTACATTATTTTTAAACGTTATTGCCTATGTTCCAATTTTATGAATATTAGTGGCATCCTACATATTGTTGCTTACGATTTATTGTTTTATATTTTGACAAACTCTCGATGTTTTGAGATGATTTATCTACTTCATTAAGCAATTATTCATGATTCAAAGTTTAGGCATAAATTAGTTGTTTTCATCAATCCAATAATTATTTTTGTATAATAAGTATGACACTAAAATTAATTATTGGAACAATTTCATTATTCAATATAAGTAAATTAAATGATGAAACCATTTCAATTACATTGTATTTTAAATAACTTGAAGAGCCACTGCGGTTCAATATTTTAAACACTAATTACAGCGATAAAAACAGTCTAGCATTTATATTTTTTTCTTTAAATTAAGGACGAGAGAATGAGTGCAGTGGTTAACATTCAGGAGGGCCGGGTGGTCCGACCCTCTGTTTTAGCCCTAATAGCAGCATTTAAAGCGACCCTCAGCTATAATTGTTTCCTGACTTTTTCGTCGCTGAAGCTATCAGAATATATTATGTTTGTTTATGTTCAAATTCAAAATACTCTAAATGATAAAATATTTTAGTTATATTTTAATGTAAGGAATGCTATTCCATTGGACGTCAAAGTTTTTTGTTGTATTTAAATTGTCTTTGCTGTAGTAGCTATTAAAATTGTAGTACAATTACGTAGTCTTTAATTTTAAAGAGTTAAAAAAATTATCGTGTCAAGTTTTACCTGTTTATTTCCCATTTTTATTCTTATCATATTTTGTAAAGTAAAATGTAATCCACAAGTTCTGATGGGTGATTGAATATCTAACACTATGTCACTGCCTTAGTACCGGTTAAATACATTTTACAATAAATAATAAGTCCATACAATATTTGTTTATGAGACGGTTGTTTGCAGCTGTATCATAAAATTTTATTTTTTAGTTGATTAAAGTTAATCACTTAAATCAATTATATCATTGATATAATTTATCTAACTACTATAAGTGCACATAAAATAAGTTCAAGAAACGTCTTAAATCCTTCAAAAGGCGTAATAGGTTTGGCTGTTGGAGCAAAATTGCACCTCTATAAACATGGTTGTATAATTCAGTAATTAAAAAAAATGGATATTGAAGTTTAAAGCTGATAATTGACAAGCTACCAATAGAGACAATAACTGCCAAAACTCTGTTTTCCCCTATCCTATTTTATGTTTGGAAAATTAGGGTGAAATACAACGTGTTATTCTTTACACTGTCCAATAAGTTACGATACATTACGTACAATAAATTGAGTGCTACGATAGGTTTATTCAGTGAAAAAAGGTGGCGTTTGCTACATAAATAATTTACCTCAGCACACTCTATCGGTGGTTTAATTTAAAATACATTCAGTTGCATACACAAGGTGATTAATTTAACAAAAGAATGGAACGTCTAGTTTTACTCACATTTAAGGTATAAGTTAAACTACGTTTATCTCCATGCTAAGAATCTTTCTTTAAATTATTCTTGGTTTGGCTTATGTGGCCAACCAAGGATTAGAAAAGAAAAACAGACTTTCAAATCCTAAAACAAAATAACTTGGTTAAATATAACTATCATGAAATAAACACAACACACAACTAAATTTGTATTGAAACTTACAATATTACTAGAACCATTCTCACCGCAGAGAGCAATGGTAATGTACAAAATATCACTTAACTTACATCCTTTTAAAATTTGTCTACTATTTTACCTTCGTATATGGCCGATTTCTGACACTATGCGCATTTTGCGTTTAGCTATTAGCGATACAGAGATGTATTTACAGTAGATGCTAATGCTACATCGCTACAACTACCCCTATCATCTATTTGGCATTTAGTGGCCTTTAGGTCCCAGCCCTTGCCAGATGTCTGGAACCTATTCAATGCTATTTATCATTCCTTTAAATTTTTACCAATTTACAAAACTTAAGTTTGAATATAAAATTTATATTAATAAAAAATTGATTAACTGTTGAGTCAACGGTGTACTGTCGGAACAAACGACCCAAAGTTGGAATGCTATAGTTAACCTTTATTTATTGACAGAAAATTGGTACGTAGAAAATATTTTTTTAGAATAAAAAAAATTTGAAAACTCGTATCTTTTCATATGTATTAAAATAACCTGCAGTTCAAAAGTTGTATACTAAGAATAATACAAAGGATAAAAGACAAGACGGTGCCCTAAATCTTTACCTCCATTGCTATTTTATGACACCAGAAGTGGCGGCATTGGTGAGAATTTATAGCGAAGGT